CCTATGCGGTAATGCAATGTCTGCAGCTCGAAGTGGTTGTAGGAGATCATAACCCCCAGGTACTTGCTACAGGAAACCCACTGGAAGGCGGGGAACGATTTGTTGGGCCCGATGCGCCATCCGCGAACCTGCTCGCCTTTGGAGTTTGTGATCCAGCAGCCATGTTTATTCATCACGTTTTGTGCTTCTCTACCCGCCAACTTCACCAAAATGACGCACTTGCCTGTGTTGACTCTGAGACGGTGTTTACGGACCTCCTCAAGTAACGCTGCGATGAGCGCATGAATGGCCTTGAGGTCCTTTTCGGAGCGGATAGTCCGATGGAGTGTAAGATCGTCGGCGTATCCTGTCAGAAACTTCAAGACCTGCTCAGCACCGAATAAGTCGACTAGAGAGCGGAAAAGGTCTCCTGTAAGGAGCGAGAAGAGTGTGGGGGCGAGCTTACAGCCTTGTTTTATGCCTGCTGTGGTTTCGATAGAGGTGGAGTCACCTTGCGCATGAAGGACATAACGAGACCCGTCATGCAGAGCTTGTACGAGGTGGACTGTGTCCTGATCGGCCCCTTCTCGCTGAAGAAGGTCGATGATCTCTTGGCGAGAGACTGTGTCAAACGCTTGGCTTAGGTCAAGAGCGAAGGTGAGGCCGCCAACTAAGCCAGGGGCCTGAGTGCCTTGTTGTAAGGCATGTCTCGTGGGGTGGGCCTGTTCTAACAGGGATCGAGCCTCGCGCAGGTGATGCACTACGCGTTCTAGCGCGTCTGAGAGCCCCCGACCTGGTAGGTATGCGAACTGTGGCATGTGCTTGAGGAACGAGAGGGTCAGTGGCTGAAGCGCTTCCCTGGCCGCTCCCGCCAGTCCCTTAGCGTCAGGTCTAAGGATACCCAAGGGTCTCAAGTTCGCTGGCTTGTCAGAGGGTTTGCCCGGCTTGGGGATTAAGCAGAGATCAGCATCTACGAGGTCTGATTCGAGGCTGTCTTCGGCCTGCTTGGATGCTACGTGTTTAGAGAGGATCGGTGCGACGATGTCGCTACACAGTCTCCACACAGCCGCGGGTGCGGCTCCGTCAGGAACGGCCTTATTAGGCTTGATGGAATGGATGTGAGCTGCTAGTTTGGGCGGCTCCAACTCAGGGAAAGCTCCATGCAGAGTCCGTAACGGAGGATGGGCCGCAAATACCTGATTTGCATAGTCCCTGAGGGCTGCTAGCTCCTGCGCAGGACCCAGCAGATGTCCTGTGCTGTCCTTTAGCTGAGCTCTGCGCGCAGGCTGCCAAGGCTGCAGCTTTTTGAGGGTCTGAAAGGAGATATGTTGGTCGCCTTCGGCCAGACTCGCGTCCACCTCAGATATGAAACTCGCGATCCTATCTTTCTTTGCTTGTTTCACAGCCTGGCGATGTGCCACTTGCGCTAGCTCAGCTTCGGTGTCCGGCGGACGTGGCGTGTTCTGATTAGGAGGCTGTGCCATTGCTTTAGGTGACTCGATCAGCTGTGCTGAGGGAGCTGTGTTCGCAACCCTGTCATAGGTACTGGCCCGCCACATGCGACGGGTTTCTAACTCCAACGGGATCGGTCTTCTTTTGGGAATTTTTGGAAAAAGCGTTCTGCACCTTCCAAAAGCAACGCATTCCATTCTTTGGGGTCCTGGCAGGTGTCAATTCTGGAAGCTATCCAGCTATGCAGTGCCTTTGCCTTTTCATCCTCCTCTCTGACCGATGTCTGTAGAGCTAATGAATCGTAGCGGCGCGTGCTGAGTTTGTGGGGTGGGAGAAGCCAGTGATGTTGGAGGGGTACCTCAGCTTTAAGCGGATAATGCCCTCCTTTCTTCCAACTACCCAACGGGCAGTCCGTCCAGGGGGCTGATCTTTTTGCTTTGCCTCCCGCCGTAGATTCTTTGGTTAGAATGAAGTCGATTTGCGACTCCACTCCTCCTTGTGAGAAGGTGGCTACGTGGTCACATTGCCAGGTGTTAAGGGCAACCAAACGCAACCTGAGCAGCAGGTTAAACAAGTTGGATTCGTCAGGGCGGTCCTCAGTGGGCGGCTTCACGTGCGTTCCCACTAATGGAGGGCTCGGACGCAGGGAAGTGTTAAAGTCACCCGCTACAATGAGGGAGTCCCTCTTAGGCACCTGCTTGATCACCTTGGACATGACGGAAAGCACCTTAGCACGGTCATCCTTATTGGACTGGATGGTCTTGGCAGAAGACCAAGCGTGTTGGTACACCGCGACAACAACCAGCCGAGTACCTGCGATGTCTGCACGGGCTTCTAAGACCCTACCCGGGCTCCACTCCTTCCAGCGTAAGCTCTTGGGAGCGAACTTGGGCGAGAATAGGATCATGACTCCATCAGCGCGGGTCGTGGATGGAGCTCGCGGTTCTTGCCGAGTTTTACGCTTCGCAGCTTGTTTAGGCCGGGTGTTTGTTTTGGTAGACTCCGAGGCTGAGGAGATACAGTACCACCCATTGTAGTATGAGGACATCACAGTGATGGGAGGCTTCAGCTGCTAGCCACGTTTTAAGTTCGCCCCATTGCTGTTGACCTAGGTGTCCTGCGTTCCACGAAATAACTCGGATGGACCTTTCCAACCGGCCTGCCCTGCGGGAGGCTGTGCCATATGCAGGGGAGTCAGCAGTCTGTGACTGAAGCTCTCTTCGAGTGGGTGGGGGGCGTACCCCCAGACGGTCAACCAGGGTAGGTGTCAGGACCTGCCCTCGGTATGGTACGGGCCCGTCACTACGGACTGTCCTTCTACATGCTGTCTTGAACGAATTCTTACGAAGAGATGCAAAGTTTTGTGAGTGCACTGGCAATTGCGCCATCCGCTACTTTCGTCAAGAGACCGAAGCCTAATGACTCCCTCCACTGCGCGGAAGTGGAAACCCTACCGCCTACCCAGTGTTGCAATGTTTTAAACAGAGTCTGGGCCCAGGAATTGGGACCTGGCGGCTCAAAGCAGCTCCTGTGAGAAAAGGGAGAGGACCATGGCGTAGAAGGAGGCACAAACCTTTACTGTTCAGAAAAGGGCCCGGTGGGAACCTCTAGCACAGCAGTTGCGCCCCAAGCCTGTTCGAAGCCTCTCATTCAGCGCGGCCGCTTGAGCACTTGTGGCGGCTCCTACTACTACTACTACTACTACTACTACTACTACTACTACTACTACTACTACTACTACTACTACTGATACTACTACCACTACTACTACTACTACTCCTCCTCCTCCTCCTCCTCCTCCTGCTGCTGCTGCTGCTGCTGCTGCTGCTACTATTACTACTACTACTCCTGCTGCTGCTGCTGCTACTACTACTACTACTGCTACTACTACTACTATACTACTACTACTACTACTACTACTACTACTACTACTACTACTACTACTACTACTACTACTACTACTACTACTACTACTACTACTACTACTACTACTACTACTACTACTACTACTACTACTACTACTACTACTACTACTACTACTACTACTACTACTACTACTACTACTACTACTACTACTACTACTACTTACTACTACTACTACTACTACGACTACGACTACTGCTACTGCCACTGCCACAGCCACTGCTACTGCTACTGCCACTGCGACTGCTACTGCCACTGCCACTGCGACTGCTACTGCTAGTGCTACTGCTACTGCTGCTACTTCTACGTCTACCACGACCACTTCCACTGCCCCTGCCCCATTGCCACTACCATTGCCACTATCACTAGCGCTGCCACTACCATTACCATCACCACCACGACCGACGATCACGACCACGACCACTGCCACTACCGCTACCACTACCACTACCACTACCACGACCACGACCACGACCACGACCACGACCACGACCACGACCACGACCACCACCACCACTACGACTACGACCACTGCCACTACCACTACCACTACCACTACCACTACCACTACCACTACCACTACCACTACCACCACCACCACCACCACCACCACCACCACCACTCCCACTCCCACTCCCACTCCCACTCCTGCTCCCGCGCCTACTCCTGCTCAGGCTGCGCCTGCTGCTTCTCATGCTCCTGCTTCCTCCTCTTCTCTCCTCGTCTGCTCCTGCCCCTGCCCTGCCCCTGGCCCCGGGCCCCCCCTGCCCCTTGCCCCAACTACTGCAGCGACGACGACGACCACTCCACCGCAAGAACGTCGATTACTGCTACGTTTACTTTCGTTAGGATTTGTCGCTTACGTTGCGGTATGCTTTTGACATTGCCACGAGCAGTAAGCTCTTCGTGTCTTGTGGTAGAAGACGGTGCACATGGTCTTCGTGTCCCTGGTATTGAACTGTACATTATTGTGGTGATTATGATCATCATCGTCGCCATCCTTATCACGACTATGACGGCGATAAGGGGGTAATTTTCGGTTTTCGGTGACCTCGCCTGCTTGAGCGTCTGTGGTCAAGGAAACAATTGCCTGCGCACGGTGTCTAGACGGACTGCGGACAGATGAGGACGGATCCTGCACTTGAGCTGCAAGTCAAAAGGGAAAAGGAGGGACCCTTAATAAGGACGCCTACCCGATAATGGGCTATATAATGGGTACATACTTAGGGGTCCTTATTAAGGGTCCTTCCTTGTACCCTTGGAGCAAGTGGAAATACCGTGGCAGCGTAGTACATGACTTGGGACGAGTCCTCAATAGTTCGTTGTGTATCAGTCGAGCGGCTTAGTCTGTACCCTCCAATCAATGGAGGGAAGAGCAATCAAGGCAAACCATGCAGCAATGCTGACCACCTGCTCCTGGTTGCCGTTGCCATCAGTATAATTGGTGCAGTCGCCATCGTGTATGTCGGCTCGTTACACGCAAGCCAGGTGGGTGTTTTTTCGGGTATCGGTCCGGTCTTTCTTTGAAGTTTGTTGTGCTCTGATTCAAAGTTGGGAAGGGCATGTTGACAACGCCCGGTGCTGCCAGAAGCAGTAACAGTTGACTAATCTCTATATTAAAGGTATGTTTGGCCGTGCCAAAAACAATGCCCCAGGTTCAGCAGAGCCGCCACCTGCTCGTGGCCGTGGTGGGCATCACGCAGTTCGTGACGATTGCGCAGATGCTGGCAGTGCTTCGGCGCTACAGCATCGCTTGGGGCGAGCCTTTCGCCAGCCTCATGGCTTTCTTGGAAATCTTCAGCTTCGACTTGGAGATGTTGTCCTTCGATTGTGTGACGAGGATGAATCCCGTGGCATCCTTTGCTATCCGCGTGTTGACGAGCCCTGGAATTCTGCTGACAGCCTTAGTGGTCTCCCTGATTCATGCGGCTCTGCTCGCTTGGAGAAACTGCTTTCGCTGGAACGGTTCCAGCCTCAGGCTTCAGGTCCATGTCCTGCATCTTTTCAAAACCTGGGGGGCGCTTTTCATGGTCCTGTTCATTGTACTCTTCTCCATGATCTTGGCTCCTTTTCAGTGTCGACTGCATCCGAATGGACGGTTCACGGTTCAATCCTATCGCTCGGTGCATTGTGACGAAGACGAGCAGCACTTTCAGATGTTCCTCCTGGGAATCCTGGCCTGTGGCTGTGCTGATTTGGCCTCCTTCGAGGGTTTAGGGTGTTGCTCACGGCACCATAGTCCCCTAAACCCTAAACCCTAAACCGAGCCATAGACTCCTTCTGGGTACCGAAACGCTAGCAGCGTCCCCCATCAAAATCTACAAGAAAGGCAGCATGCCTCTGCTGTACCTGGCGCTCTGCACCTGGATCGTCATGGTGGAGTTACCCAAGCGACTGGCGAGATCAGATACGGACTTCCTGCAAGCCTGCTCTTTTCTGATTGTGCGGTTCCGCACGGGTGCTGAGATCTCCTCTGTTGCCATCCTAATCAGAAACGTGCTGGTGGTTCTGACCCCTCTTCCTGTTGAAGAGTCATCGAAACTCCTGATGATGAGTCTGGTCTTGTTGCCGAACCTTGTACTTGTGGCCTATTTCCAACCGTGGCGGTACGCCGTCTGTCACTCGCCCAAAGTTTGACTTGGTGCTCTTTCGATTATGGCTACGCATGTCCACGCTACTCTACTGTCAAGCAAGCCCTAAATCCTCGCCGAAGACATTAACCGCAACCCTAAGCCCCCCGAAACATCAAGTTGCGAGGTGCTAGGCCCTAAACCCCAAAGCCTAAACAACAAACCCTAAACCCGTAAACCCTAGGCAATGCTCTGGACATCATTTTGCTCGCTGGCATGCTTGTAATCCTACAGATCGGCGCGATGAATCTGGGCCATGCCGACTCTAGTGCATACGTGAGTGTCCTCATGATCCACATGGTCGTGATGTCTCCTGACATTCCTTAAAGGGATCTGTAAGGGTTCCTCTAAGGGGTCTATAAGGGTTCTTACAGGGATCCATAATATCATAGATCCCCATGGTCGTGATGTCATGGTATCAGTCAGGGCACCGTAGAAGATCATGATACCCAACAGAGCCGATCCGAAAGACCCCAGCCAAAAAGACAACCTGCGGTGAGTGCTGAGGCTTCTCGCCATTCTCGGAACAGTCATCTGGAGCATGTCAAGCTATCTTCAGCAGAAGTTCAGATGCTCGGACAAGTGATTTGTAGCAGGAGACGAGGTTTATTGATGCCGACTGCTGGCCGTGGAGGTATCTTTCTGCTTCGTCTGCTTCTCATTCAGCCAGCAGCTGCCGTGGCAACAGCAACAACAATGGTGACGAAGCCACAGCGACGATAAGATCAACAGCAACATAATCTTTAAGAAACTATAAGGAAAGCGATAAGATCAGTATGTACACCAGCACCATCCGAAAAGCAACGGCAACACCAACAACACCAGCACCAAACACCAAGCGCCAGCTGGCAAACACCAAACACCAGGCCTCCGGCCGACAGGGTGTCATCCCAATGTTATGATGATAATGAGACCGATATCGGTACTGCTTTGGTGGTGATGATGAAAGTACTCGGGATTCCAGCAGCTCCTCCTCCTCCGCCTCCTCCTCCTCCTCCTTCTCCTAATCCCATCCTCATCCTCATCCTCATCCTATCCTCATCCGTCGTGGTCATCATGAGCCTCGCAACCGTCACGAGCACTTCCAAATCGAATCTTGTGCTTACCTTTTTCGGCAAGGTAACTATGTTTGACGATTGGCGAGTTTCAATGAATTGCAGCAGCCAAGGAAAAGACTTCAAGTTCTTCCTGTGTCATCAAAAGAGTGCCGCGGGATCCATGGCACGGCTGCTGAAAATGGAGCTGGAGAAGAAGCTGCCTAACACGATACTAGGTGGCATTTCGGGATGCTTTTCAATATCCCCCGAGGCTCAATAAATGCGGGGGCTGTTGAACTACAACGCAGGAAAACATTTGTGGACTGTGACGACCTGAACGACTTGACGCGGTTGTTCAGTTATGTTGGCCAGGACATCAGGGATACCTTAAAGAAGCCCGTAAAGGAAAACTCTTTTCTATACAAGCACTTTATAGACTCGATACGCATATGTAGCAGTTATGGCAGTTGCTTGTGCAGGACACGGAAACTTTTGTCATTCTGGGCTCGCCGGGCATATTCACACGTGAACTCGAAAGTTGAGTTTGCAATCTTTGATCATTTTGGGGTTGTGCGGCTTCCTTTGAGGCTGAAGGCTAGAAACGTCTTGGCTTGTTGAGTTGGACAACTAGGCAAATGGTGCATCGGCGAAATGGTCACTGCATGGCAGGGCCGCATACCATCTCGGCTCCTGTCCTGGCCAGACCTTGCGATTCCCGATGAGACGTTCATCGAGAGCTACTCAACGAGTGTTCCCGACATAGCTGAGCTGGTGAAGTTCGGGATCAGCCTCACAGAGGTGAAAAGCATGTTAAGGGCGCTTGGAAAGGTGGAGATGTTGAAGTTGCCGGGGCAAATCACACCGCAGCACATCAAGGATGTCGTGGGCTCTTTGCTGGGGAGCCCTGGCAGGTCCCTGACTTCTCTTCCGACCAACTGTCAGGTAGAGATGGACTCTGGGTGTCCGATTCTGGTGGACCCCGACAACATCGAGGCTATGGCATCGGCGATGGTGCTCTCAAGCCTCTTGAAGCCCCTGTTGTTGGGCACTCACGTGCCGAGCCCTTTCATCATTCTCAAAGGCTCCTCCTTGTTGCCATCCGCAAAGGTCGCTTTGATGGTCTGCAGCCAGGGCTGTTTTAAGTCTCCACACATCCAGCAGTGGCTTCTGCAAGCCTGTCACTCGGGTTCCTGCTCTATGGTTCCTGTCATCGTGGAGGAAAGCTTCCGAATACCAACCTCGACCTATGCGACAGAGCTCCGAGAAGTGTCCTTTCGCGAGGGAGAGTTGCATCTGTACAGTATTGCTCTCCAAGTCCTGTTTCAAGAGATCGCTGTGGTTTTTGTTCCTCAAAGTTACTCTTCTACTTCCCGGGATCTTGCTTTGCGATGTAGCCAGGCAGCGCAGAGGCTGACTGTCCCGCTACAGAGTCTTCAGTCGAAAGTCTTCCGGCTCATGGCATCAGGTGGAGGCATAAATCCCTTGACAGGTCCAAGCGCCTTAGGCGATGACCGTCCCGATGATTCGGAGGAATATGTTCTGCAAAGTTTTTAAGCGGCTTGAAGCTGCATACCTGCAGATCTGCTTTCACGAGTCTGAGCAAGCCGTCTGTTTGCCCCGGTTGCGCCGAAAATGGGTGTCCGTCGTGCCTGAGCTGCTTTCGCCTTGTGCACAACAGCCTTGAGCCGCATCCTGAAAGCCATCTTGGTTTCTGTGCAGCAGTGGTTCCCCTGAGCTGTGCACCCTCAACCCTAAACCTTACCTGGACCCTAAGGAATCTACCTTTTTAAGGTTCCCTAATATGATTTCTTTATATAAGTCCTTAAAAAGGTAGGTTACGTGGGGTTTAAGTAAGCTTAGGGCATGGTCGGCTGTGGAGGCAGCAGGCCACCGACCCCCTGGGAGCGGCATGCCAAGTCTCTGAAGCAGCGACGCGTCGAAGATGACCCTGAGGCCAGGCTGGATTTTGGGTTCAGGATGTGGAGGTTTAGGATTTTAGGGGTTTAGGGCTTAGAGGTTCAGGATTTTAGGGGTTTAGGGTTTAGAGGTTTAGGATTTTAAGGGTTTAGGGTTTAGAGGTTTGGGATTCTGAGGGTTTAGGGTTTAGTGTTCAAGAACAGATACACCGGAATCAGTAGACAGTGTAACATCAGCAGCAACGCACGTTGAACAGCAACGGCAACAATGACAGTATTGGTAGCAGTGATAGTGTTCGTCACAGTGTCAGTAGCCGCGGCCGCAGCAGCAGCAATACTGATACTAGTTCGGGCAAGGCTCAATAATGGTAATGTAACGTCAGCAGTGAAAGCGATGGCAACAGTAATGGCAGCAGCAGCAGCAGCAGCAGCAGCAGCAGACTTGCCGCCAGCCGCCCATGTGCAGTTGCAAGTCCACTGTCACCACTACGCTCTGTTCAAGGGATTCTGAAGCTTCGCATGTACGTTTTCAGCACAGTACATAAGCGTATACATATACACATATACATAGACAGTTTGCATGTACGTTTGTACATGTTTTCAGTGTTCCCTTTCGCACAAGAGCTGTGCTGCCAGGGTCCGCAATTGCTCTTCCCCATGTACACAGTTCCTGCAGCAGCATTACTGGAGATGGTCGAAGTGAAGCCGCACGAGGAGACGTGAGAAACGCCGAAGTGCGAGAGTTTGCTTCGTAGTCGTCCCGGCAGGGTTCACGGAGATACCCGCTTGAGCATCTGCAAGACTTTCACCTTATTAGGGTTTTGTAAGGCCAGAAAACGCGAGCCTCCTGAGGAGTTGCTGTCCAGCGGAGTGCTTGTGGAACAGGATGAAAACAAGGGAGGGCACGTGGCTTTCGTCTCTCACCAGTGGGTTGGGAAGGGCCATCCCGATCCCAACTTCGAGCAGTTTAACGTCCTTCAGGAGGTCTTCCGAGATCTTCTTGCGTCGACGTCCTACATCCACCTCGAGACTGTAAGCTGCATCATGTCGCCGCTGAAATCAGGCTTCTATTCCCAATGTTTGCAGAGCAGGCCATTGTTCGTCTGGTACGACTATTTCTCTGTTCCGCAGAGCCCCGCAGCAGCTCCGAAGCAGCGACATGCCATTGACTGCATCCCGGCCTACATCGCGCGGTGTCGCTTCTTCTTTGCCCTCTGCCCCGTCATCGAGAGTGCCGAGCTTTCCGGAGTTTTTTCGCCGTTCACGTGGGTGCAGCGAGGGTGGTGTAGACTTGAGCAGCCTGGAGTTCGATTAGATCGCTTTAGACCTTTCTTCGGTCAGTGTTAAAACACAGGGAACTAAAGTTAACACCCGACAGTGAGAACCCTAAAGTCTAAGCCCGAAGCCCTAAGCCCATCTAAGCCCTGGACCCGAATCAAAAAGGCATGAGGGTTCAACAAAAAACACCCAAATCAAAGGAAAGTGTGTCGTCAACTCTCAGCTGCAGATGGGACCTGGATCATGATCAAGAGCAGGAAGCACTTGGAAGTGATGCCCATTGTTTCGGTCGCGGTCGGCTCTGTCAGTGTGGGCGAAGGCACCTTCACAGATTCCAAAGACCGTGATCAGCTGGGACCAGTTTTGAAAGCGGCCCTGAGGAACAAGTTGGTTTCTTTAATGAGGGATGGAAACATTGTGGCTTTTCGCACGCTGTTGAACATGCAGGCGTTTTTCCTGAGAGGCTTGAATGTTAAACCTGCTGCTGACTTGGTTCCCGGTGTTACGCTCGGTACAGATGTACTTCCTGAGTGGCTCCTGGCGGACAGTTTCCTGTTCCAGAACGGTTTTCGGGAAGTGGACGAAGTGGATGCTGCTGGCTGGTCGCCCTTGGCATACGCTGCCCTCGGAGGGGATCCGGAGGTGATCCAGGCATTGTTACAAAAGAGGGCCGACCCCTCCAGCAGGACCCGTGCCACCAACTACTTCGTCAATATCCCCGGAAACTCAGCAGCTGAGTAGGTAGCCTTCAAACCTTTTTGGGTTTGCACCTCCCTACCATACTTGAAAAAGGTGAATCCTGTTTGGGCCAGGCCACCCAAAACCCTAAACGCAAACCCCTATAGCCTGAAACGCTAAACCCCAAACCAGAAACCTCAGACCCTAACACAAAGGCGTTAAACCCGAAGCCCTCAAACTGAGGAAATGCTTCGATGGTCAGCATCGCTGCGTTCTACAGCAACAACGAAGCCCTCCAGGCCGGCTCAGCAAGCCCCCGGAGCTTTCCTTCAAAGAAGCCCTAAACCCCTATAACCCCTAAACCCTGAACCCTAGACCCTAACCCTAGACCCTAAACCCGAAACACTAAACCCCTAAACCCCAGACCCTAGACCCTAGGCCCGAAACCCTAAACCTTACGTGGAAGCCCGAAAACCTCTACCTGGAGGATTATGGGGCTTAGCGACTAGGGTTAATTACAAGTACCTTAATTAGGGTTATTTGTAGATATAACTAGCCCTCCTTACTAGGCCTCCTGATCCTCCAAGTAAGGCTTAAAACTTCAACACGCCTAGCACCTGAAACCTAACTTGAAAACCAGAACTTGAGATGGCCCCAGGTGCTCATCACAGCCAGAGCAAGTCTTGAGGCATGGGGTAGGGTTTAGGGTCTAGGGTTTAGGACGGTTTAGGGTTTAGGGTTTAGGACGGTTTAGGGTTTAAGGGTTTAAGGGTTTAAGGGTTTAGGGTTTAGGGTTCAGGGTGTAGCCTAGATTTTAAACCAGCTTTTGCAGTGACCAGTGTTATCACAGCGTTAGTATGGGACCCTTATGCTTAGACTGATCGACTCATGAAACGTTTGAACATCCTACATTCTACCCCTCAAGCCTTGCAAAAGGAAAGTAAAGCCCCCACACCCTACATCCTAAGTCCTAAGGCGCAGCAAACCCTAGAGCAATGAGCCGTACAGCCTAAAGGTGCACTAAAGATGCTTAAGCCTGAATATATCATACCTAAGGAAACCCTGAATAAGCCCTTTATATCCCTGGCTGATCCCTAAACCCTAAACCCTGAAGCCTGAACTTTCCAGGCTGGGATTGCACCACCAGTGGTTACAGCATCCGGGGGTGACAACACCGAGGGAATGCGGATCCTCTTAGCTGCAGGTTGCAGCTTGCAGGCCTCTTCAGGGTTTGGAGTTTAGGGTTTAGGGTTTAAGGTTTAGGGTTCAGGGTTTAGGGTATGTTAGGGTTTGGTTCGCGGAAGTTAAGACTTGTGGCAATTTCGGCTGTTGATTGTGCTGCTACTACGACCAGCCACTATTGCTGTTTGTCTTGTCATGACTGCCGGTGCCATGTGCTTTCTTCTGGCCTCCTACCATTGTCATTCTTACTGCTACTACTGCTTACTGCCACCACCACCACCACCACCACCACCATGACTACTACTACTACTACTACTACTACTACTACTATTACTACTACTACAACTACTACAACTACTACAACTACTACAACTACTACTACTACTACTACTACTACTACTACTCCTGCTCCTGCTCCTGCTCTTGCTCCTGCTCCTGCTCCTGCTTCTGCTCCTGCTCCTGCTCCTACTCTTACGACGACGACTAGTACTACGACTACGGCGACCACGACTACTACGATTACTAACTACTAGTGCTAGTGCCAGTGCTGGTGCTGGTGCTAGTGCTAATGTTGGTGCTGGTGCTGGTGCTAGTGCTGGTGCTGGTGCTGGTGCTAGTGCTACTGCTACGGCTACTGCTACTGCTACTGCTGCTGCTGCTACAACTACTACTACTGCTGCTGCTGCTACTGCTACTGTTACTACTACTACTACTACTACTACTACTACTACTACTACTACTACTACCACTGCTACTACTACTACTACTACTACTACTACTACTACCACTGCTACTACTACTACTACTACTACTACTACTACTACTACTCCTACTGCGACTGCGACTGTGTCTGCGACTACTACGCCTGCTAGCACTACTGCTACGGCTACTGCTGTCACTATGAACTACTACTGTTACTATTACTACTGTTGCTTCTACTACTACTACTACTACTACTACTACTACTGCTACTACTCCTACTGCGACTGCGACTGTGTCTGCGACTACTACGCCTGCTAGCACTACTGCTACGGCTACTGCTGTCACTATGAACTACTACTGTTACTATTACTACTGTTGCTGCTACTACTACTACTACTACTGCTACTACTACCACCACTATTACGATTCTTGTTGATGCTGCTGCTGCCATGGGCTACTGCCACTGCCGCTGCGACTGCTACTGCTACTGCTGCCACTGCCGCTGCCACTGCCATTGCCACTGCCACTGCCTCTGCCTCTGCCTCTGCCACCACCACTGCCACTGCCACTGCCCCTGATGCTGCCACTGCCACTGCCACTGCTGCTGCTACTACTGCTGCTGCTACTGCTGCTACTGCTAGGACGACGACTATGACTATGACTACGACTGCGACTACTATTACGATTACTACGGTTTCTAGTGCTACTACTGCTACTTCTCATTCTGACCATAATCACTCCAATTAGCTTTCGTTGGTTTTCATCATGCTCCGCATCACACCAGCGTGTTATCGCATGAACCTTTAGCAACATCATCTTGAATTGTTGGTCTATTTTGTTGTCGAACTGGTGATTATCTTATCGCCCTACTTACTCGTAGTGCCGTTGTCTTCATGCTCAGGGTTTGTCACCATCAGCCAGCCTTGAAGCCTGTCGTTCTTCAGCTTTGGCCAGGCTCAAAATGCAGCTGGCCACACGGTCTTTGAGAATGCCGCCCTGACCGGATCGCAAAATGTGATGGAGGTGGGTTTTACCACGGGTTGCGTAGGGCTTGGTGGTCGGTGTTGCATATGGTGTTTGTGCGGGTAGCCGAAGTTGCCTTCTGTCAAACGAAATGCATGGGGCGACGACACGAAGGGATTGGGGTCGGGCCAGCGTTAAGCTGAACCTGATTCGTTTGCAATCGGGTTCCGTGAAAAGCTAGGCAGCTGAAACCTCCACTCACGTTACCCCGCGAGAGTATCGCTATCGCAAAATAATAAGCTCACACACGCATCAAGCGCAGCTCTGAATGGTGCTCAGGTGCTTCTCGAAGGTGGCACTACGGCTGCCCAGCTTACTCGCTCATTGCACTGGGCATGCTGGCTGGGAGGAGGCTCCTTGAAATTCGTTCAGCGTGTCTTGCGGTTCTTCAAGGACGGCCAACGTGCCGAAGCCTCTTCGTCATCGTTGTGTTCAAGAGCATTTTTGTCGTTCATCCTGACCATTCTCGTGTTCAACATTGCCGACATGGTCATTGGCTACATCGACATAAATCATCGCAAGTAGAATTGCCTCGACATCATCATCATCATCATCATCACCATTGTCATGTTCATGTTCATCATGATGATGTTCGTCATCACCGGCATCTTCATCTCTATCTCACCATTATCATGATCGCCAAATCGTCGTCATCATCAATGCTATCATCATGATCATCATCATCATCGTCATTATCAGCATCACCATGGTGTTTATCTGCATCTTCATCTTCACTATGCATCATCATCACCGCCTTCACCATCATCATCATCATCATCATCGTCAGCATCATCACCACCATCTTCTGTTCATCGTCAGCATTTCGATCGTCGTCAGCTCAATACATCCTCTCTTCCTCGTGCTTGTCATCTTTACATCTATCACCTTCCTCGTCAAAGCAATCTTGAGCTTGCTTCTTCACCGTCATGGACCGCCAATGTCGCCATCATTCTCTCCGCCCGTCATCGTCATCGTCATCGCCAGCGTTACCAGAATCATGCTTTTGGTTGTCACATTCTAGATTGGCTTTGCGTCTCTTGGTCAGTGTCCTTTTGAACAAGCAGCTTTGCTGAGGTTCCTTCGAGATGATCCAGCAGCTGCTCTGCGCGCGAGCAGACTTGAATAGCCCTTTTGCCGTGACGTGGTCTATTCTAGAGATCAGTTTTGCTTCTTGTGGTTGGGGGTTTCCTCATAATACGAGAACTGCTCCTAAAAAGGGGCTCAGGCCCCTAAACCCCAAACCCTAAACCCTGCACCCTAAACCCTAAACCCTAAGCCCCCCAAACCCTGGACCCTAAACCCTAAACCGCGAAGAGGGGCCCAGGTGAAGTCGTTGAGCACGATGGGAGTCCTGTTCGGAGCGCTGAGCCTCCGGTATCGCATGGGCAGCCGGTCGCCCGAGTCCCAGCTTTCCCAGGGAACCCAATAACCCTTACCTAAGGAATAGACCTTAAGTAATAATGTAATTTAAGTAACCCTTATCTAAGGAATAGACCTTAAGGAATAATGGAATTTAAGGTATCATCCTTAACTAAAGGGTATTGGGATCTTTGGGTGCCAAGGCCAAGGCCAAAGGCGCAAAGGCAAAGGGGCGGCTTGGGGCTTATGGTTTAGGGTCGACTCTTGGGGGTGTTCATCGAAGGTGCTGGGACCCTAAACCCTAAACCCTGAACCCTAGGCGTTTGGCTTGCAGCAGGTGTAGTTTCTCACTGAGTCCACCGCTGCCGCCATAACCCTAGCGAGGCCCACACGTGTGGCCCGCGAAATCCCGACACACCGGTCTGTGGCTGCCTAGGGCCCACTGTGCTGGTGTGAGGCTTCTTTTACGTCACCAAGGACCATCTCCTGACTGGGTGCTGCTGGCTGCCATTCGTGGCCCATCAGTTGCTTTTTTCAGGGGATTGGCAACCCCGTGCATGGGACGCACCTTCAATCTGTGGTTGTTGGTTGCCACTGCACTTTTTTCTAGCGCTGGCGCGCCTTTTCTCTGGAGAGGAGGCGTGGCATCGCCGCTTACGTCGTCGCCGAACTTCGGCGCGACTTACACTGGGGCTTTTCTTGAAGGGTCAGGAACTACCTCAAGAGCGGGTTCAGGCAGCAATCGCCGTCCTGCAGAAGCACCACTCAAAGAGCTCACTTCCTCTACGTGCACTACGCAAGCTACAATCCCCCGGAGCCATGGGAGGGAATGGGCAATGGAAGTGCCGACACTGCAAGCAACATTGCAAGGCGTCGGCTTTGTATTGCCAAAGTTGTGGCACGTTCTGGCAGCAAGCTATAGAAAAGGAGCCGAAGTATGCGCATGCCGCTCAACCCTCGGAGCCCTGGAGTCGCGAATGGGCGGACTGGGAGAGTGGTTGGGAAAGCCCACGGCAGCGTGGGGGTTCCCCGAGAAGGCGCGGCCGCGGCAAGGGCGGCGGCAAACAGCAGCAGGGCAAAGACAAAGGCAAAGCCAAGGGCAAGGGAGAGTCATCGCAGCCGGCTGTTTCGCAGCCACCTGCCCTGGCCTCTTTGCCGAAGCCGCCGCAGCCGGCCATGCTACCACAGCCCCCAGAAGCTGGGGGAGCGGGAGCCAGGCCCAGTCCTGGCGATCCAGCATTGCAAGCTCTGCTGGGAGCCTTGGCACAGAGTCGGGAGGAGTTACCGAGCAGTATCAAGGATATCCTAGACTCCCACATGCAGGCCGACCACAAGGCATTCTCGCGGTCCCTTCACAAAGCAGTGGCTGCACAAGGTGCAGCTCGACGAGAGCTCAGTGCTCTCAGAGTGGCTCGCCGAGAATACACACAGGCCTGGCTGGTCTATGTCGAGGGGCTATGCTCGACGTGGACAGCCCAGATCGCGGAGAAGGCCGCAGTCATGCAGAAGTTTGCAGAGCAGGAGGAGAAATGGGAAGCCCAGCTGACCGATTGTACAAAAACGATCGCTCAGCTGGCTTCCGATGCCAACCAGACAGGCAACAGCGCGGAACCCATCGAAGTGGACGAAGACGAAGAGGATTCCATGATAGATGCCTCGGCGCAACAGGAGGCACAGCGACAGGCAGCCCTGGAGCGGGTTTTGGGACAGGAGACTCAGATCACCCAGGCCCTACAGGAAGCAGCCAAGGCAGCAGGCGAGCAAGCAGAAGCCTTTGCAGAAAAGGAACGGGAGCGATCTCCGCGACGGAGAAAGCCAGAAACTGCAAAGGATGGTGCTGCCTCACGACAGCCGCTACTGTCTACGAACAAAGCGGGCGCCGACGCGAAGTCGGAGGGCCCTCAGTAGGCCTCACATTGAGCCGACCGGGATATGTGGGGCGACCAATGCCCGCCTCGCTTAAGAGTGGGCGATTTTCCAATCCCTTGACACATAGTGTCACCCGAGAGCTGGACTATGTTTCTCCTTTCATGGCGGCTACCTTGGGACAACGTATGCACTACGAGGCCAGCCTGGCCAGGATGGGCATCCAGGTTGCAGAGCTGGATCCACGAGTTGCCGATTTCCCTACACACTGGGACCATTGTGGCTGTGACCCGGCTGGGTACGGATGGCCAGATGGTGAGATTCTCTGCGGGTTTGTTTCCACATTCCACGACCTCCTTGATCAAATGGGTTCGACAAGGATGAGTTGTGACGAGGTGGGAGCAGACTTTCAGGGGTCTCATCTGAAGGCCCCGCACCCATGCCTGAGGCCAGCAACATCTGTACAGTTGGGATGCGCTGTACATAGTGAGCAGGCTTGTGACATATTGCGCGACACGAGCCTCGGCGTGAGTAGGGATGTACAGAGCCTTTCGTGCCAAGCTAAGCCTGTGCCTTCTCTGCCTCCCGCCAGGGTTATCAGTTTTGACCTTACACCCACCATTGTTCAATTCGCACCTGGGGATCGCCTCCCCCCGTTCCGTTCCGATGGGCACTCGCCCACCAGAACACCTGGCACCCTGCAATTGTGCAAGGACAGGCCTTCACTCAAGGGTGCTACAGTTCAGACGCATGTGCAGCCTGTTGCTGGCACTGCGGATTCTGGCCTAGCCCTTAGGGCCAGTGCGAAGGTTTTCTACCCAGGCTCACGCACACGGGGCGCGGACCCTCATGCTTCGGGGCCTCCAGGCACACACCGAGCACACAATACCCAGGCCTGCGAGAAACACACCATCGCTCTATCGCAGCATGTGCAGCCTGTTGCTAGCACTGCCCTCAACCACCTTCCAGGGTCTGGGCCCATCCTGCTGCAGGATCCCTTGTCCCATCACCAGCGAGGCTGCAATTGGCAGACCGTGTGCTCCTTGGACCACTGCATTCCTCCGAACCCGGAGGTACACCGACATGTTGGTTGTTCCAAGGCCGGTTCCCTGTCGAACCTTGACAACCACGCTCATGTCACTTCCACAACCGAGGTCTGGCAGGCCCATGGCGGTTCCAGTGCCGGCCCTTTTGCAAGTCTTGCACGCCCGGCTGCACCAGGAAAGAAAGGGCCTCCAACCTTGCAGCATGTGCTACCATCACTGCCACGCAAGCCTACTGACCTGCAGCACATTCTGGCAGCTGCTGTTCCGGTCCATCCGCCAGATCTTGTGCCGACGCTCCTGGGGCAGCCGCCTGAAAAGCTTGCTGCATACACCGAGGCCCCTGAATATGATTCGGATGGCCAGGCTCGGTACACGGTCTTTGACCCATCCTCTCATGTGCGCTCCAGACGCTTTCAAAGAGGATGGACCTTGGGTGACATCTTAGCGGATGCTATTGGAAGTGCAGCGTTTCCGGTGAGCCGCATCCAGGTTATTCACCATTGCATGCCGGGTTACCCTGCACCGCAAGTGATCCTCTCGGATAGAAGGACTCCTGGTGCCGCGCTTCCGCTCGACCTGCGTAGCTGCGGCAGCATGATACATACGGCCCAGCTGCAGGCGCCCCACACATGTGACGATCTGCGTGGCCTTGATGCCCGCCTTTCTGTGCACCTGCCGGCCACCTGCCTCATGCGCAACTCCCAGGGATCTCCAGTTGGGATGTTGGTGCCGCCCACAGAAGCGCATGAATGGATTGCAGTTACAGCGGATGACCAGCCACGCCCTGCTGCGCATGGCCAGAGCAGCACCACGATCACTACTACGGCTATGCAACCGTACCCGCCGCGCCTGCTTGGTTTTGAACAGCCTGTTGCGATTCAACCCCGGGTAGTGCCAGCCATTCTGGCCGAGGCCGCGGTTTGGCCGAGTCTAGTCACCCAACCGACTGGTACATGTACCCCAATTGAGCAACTGCGGTTGCTTCCGCCTTTTGGTCGGGTTGCCAGTGACGGACACACCGTCCCTTTCTCCCTCATGGTCCAGGGTTTCCCGCCTGTTAGACTCTGGGGGTCCCGACACTGGGCGCTCATGGACTTTTGCTACTATGCGGCCATCCAGCTGGATGCTCCACCCACGCAGGTGCATTTCATCACCTCTCCTCTTCCCGGTATTGATGCGCCACAAATTGTTGTAGTTGAGCCAGGGCAAGCTGAGGGCGGCACTTTGCTTCCTCTTGACCTTAGAGAGCTTGAG